TGTCTTTGTCCTGCACTCATAATATCGTCGGCACCATTATATGTCGAAGCCTTACAACTGAAAAATTTATAATTTGTAGGTCATTTTCGCCAGCATCTACCTTAAGTTTCAGTTCTTTTTCGGCTTCTTATTTTTTACACGGCTTGCGTTGCAAGTTCATAAGGACAAAAACTCCTGACCTATCCTGTTCACTCTGTAATATTAAGTCTTATTCATTAGGAAATTTAAACACTACTTAAAGCAGCCTGGTTTGATTTTTTTATATTTTATTTTATCCTGTTTGGATAGACCATGTACTAATTCGTTCAAATGACAATATTCGGTTGCTTTATAACATAGAGTGCTTCCAATTCTGAAAGAGTGCTTCAATTCACAATCAAAAATGCACAACTCCAGTCAATACAAGCAACACAACCAAAAGAAGGGACAACACAATTATGGCTGCCGCCATGACTAACTATCAACTAAAACAACATAAATGCAGTTCAGGAAACTATAATAAAATACAAATATCACGAACTCAAATGGAATCACAGAGACTAACAAAATGTACAACTAAAGGAATCAGTAGGAACTAAATGCAAGTGTATACATCAAGGGATTTTCACACACAAAAGATTCAAAATGGAACTTACACAGAGTCAGAGGAAAATTCCTTTCTTGGGATTTTATTTTCGACAGACCTTTTAGAAGTCGGTCATTTGATCATTCTTTGATCGATTTCAGTTAGCTGTTACCGAGACAATTCGAGGTTGCTGCACACCAATTCATGCAAATACACTTTTTATCAGCATTTAAAACTGAAATGGCATTGGTTAGCAAGTTGTTTGCGTCCTAGGAGAACTGCCAACAAAACCACATACAAACATTTTTATTAAACCGTTTGAGAGCTGTAGGTGTTTTATTCGTGAGAACTTCACTGTACTATCCTTTTCACTCGTCACATCGCATGTCAATATCAACGAGCTATCGACAGTCTGGCTGTTGGCGATTGCTTTTCTTCCACTGTCCAGCCATGAAACAAATTTTCAAAAAGAAACTAGATACGATAATGCCTAGAGACAAAAGGAACAGATGATAAAGATGTGAAAAACTGTAGATTGTTAGAACCGAAAGTGCTTAAAAATACAGTAGATACAATGTACTCAAAAATATCAGCGATAAATTACTTAAGAGAAGAAACGATACTCTTAGCGCTACAGTCAAATCTAGTCTTTTTTGAGACTTCGGCGGAGCATTCTGTGACTCAAAATGTGCGTTTACCGATGACCTATCAACCGAACTGACGCTATTTGTAGCTTTTTTCTAGCTCTTCTTTGATTCCGCACGATCCTGTTCATATCTATGAGTGGAGCCGACAAATTTATGAGGATTTAAAGAGCAAAAAATGACGAAATAGACGAGATCATCACGTACGTGCTAATCAACTAAACCTAGAGTACTTTAAAAAGGATTCGAAAAAAATTCTAAAGTTTAACCGAAATAATTCAAGTTGAAGTCGAACAAGTATGCTGTTGATGCAATAAATATACAAAAGCAAAGTCAATGCACATCACGTGAGAAACCACTGCCCATTTTTAAAACTCTCTATAGTCTACTTCTTCAGCGTAATAACAGTTTTCTCGAAAATATTTTGGTATATAGGACTACAATAATAGTGTCAAACAGAATAAGTTTTATTAAGAAATTATGGCTTACATAAATTTATTTTTCTCACAAATGTTAGTAACTGTTCATTTGATAGGTAATTTCCTCGTAGAATTTCATTTTATCAAAGTTGTTACACACTGGTAGAGTATCATGCGAAAATACTGCTTAGCATGAACATTTTCATAGTTTTCTGGTGTCCAAGTGACAAGTCACTGATATAGAACACGTTGTATTAATGACAGTCTCTGATACACAACTGACCAGCCAGTGATTCCTCAATTTCAACAAATCCTTTCGAAAATCTGAAACTATAAATAAACATGAGGAAAAACATAATCATTGAAACTTTGTAGCAAAAAAGAGAAGCTAAACGTATTTGTTATTTATTTTACATAATCAAACTCAACACATTAACTCCATGTCTTATTTTGTTACTATGATTATCTGAAGGTGTTATTGTACTACTGATTTTTTAGTAGTTCATTATTTCGATGTATGCACCATTATCATTGGGAAAATCGATATTAAACTTTTTTGAAACCACTATATTGTCATCACATCTGGAAGATAATTATATTAAGTGACGAATAACAGGAACCCAGAATAAGATCTTCACCTTAAATGGGACCTGTCAACCTCGAAACCCTAAAAAGTCCCCAATGTTAGTATTTGTAGAGGTATCAGTTCAAAGTTTCGAACCTTATTATAAAGGCCAATGAATCTTTATAGATAGCTATCGCACACTATGTATTGCTTAATAATATTGTTCAACGTATATACTCACACAAAAATAAGCTACAGACATGTGATGAGTAGGATCAGAATTGTACACACATGCGCTTACATAAAAAGTCACGGTTGATAAGTAAATAATTAACACGATCAAAATCTGACTCAGGCAGAGTGAATAAATCGGCCTGTCCAAAAGCTAGAATAAGGTATGTAGGCTTGACATAATAACCGACACTACAGAAACATGAAAATCACAACGAGGGAGTAGTTTATATGAATGCCACCAAGTCGATATTTTATACCTGGCTTACTAATGAACTTGATGAGTCTCAATAAATAACCTAAGGTTTGTCTATTGTCTATTGGAATTAGAACCATGTTAGGGATGGAGTAGTGGTATTGCCTATTGGCAGTTTGCTGTGCCTATAATATCCCAAGTAATAGGTACCAAGGGGTTAAGATGATGAGTGGTAGTTATGTAGGGTATATCAGTGAAGGTAACAATGAGTAGCAACTGAACACGGGGAGATTTAACTGCTGTGATCAATGCATTGTAGAAACCTGTTCTGGAAATAAAGCCTATTGAAGATGCCACGGGTATTCGGAGTTTGACAACGCTTATGCTAGTAACACTTTCTATCATTAATCGTACTCACCAAGTGAAATCAAAAGACAGAAGCGAGGAGGTTGGAAGATATATTTGATAGGCTATCAATATATTGAAGATCGTCTGATCTAATCTGGCTAGCGCTTGCAAGGGTTGTTGAGCACGGCGTTCCCACTCGTGATCTGGTGCGGATGCATGACCGAGCGCCTACAGTTAGGTGAGTCCATTAAAACGAATATGGTCAGCATCTAATGTCGAAGACTTACCGACCCACATCAACTATATTGATGAAAGCTTCATCTGCAACTGCACAGGACTTTCTGATGTAAACCTGAGCTCTGACTTGGTGTCCCGGAAACCGCAGCACCTAAGAAAAGACACTTCACCTGGCCCATATATGGTTCATTCTGCTACACTGCGGGAAGCAGATTCAGTCCTGGCATCACCGCTTAGCGTGATGTTCTCACACTCGCTAAGTCGAAGCAAACTACCGGAAATTTGGAGGCTGCTCACATCACACCATTTTTCAAAGGAGGTCGACCCAGCGAACCTTCAAGCTACCAACCGGTGGCTCTTCTCTCTATACCTTCAAAAATCATGGAGTCCCTGATATGCGATGATATATATGACTATTTACTGTCCTTAAATTTCTTCTCACCCCAACAATATGGCTTAAGGAAGGGTCGTTCTTGTATAGCCTACCTGCTGACTGCGGTGGACAGATCAACATGGATCCTTGGTCTCAAGGGGAAGGTTGACATCATTTACCACGACTTGTCAAAAGCTTTTGATAGTCAACCATGTATGTTAAATCAATAAGCTCAAACGACTGGGTATCAGATCACCTATGACTGACTCACTTCATATCTGAAAAATTGACATTTTGAGGTCAGGGTTAACTTCACTTTCTCTCAGGCTATGGAATGTCCTAGTGGGGTCCCCCAGGCCTCAGTACTAATACCTCTTCCCTCCTTTATTTATATAAGTGATCTTTCACAACAGGTAGCGTCAGACGCATTACTCTTTGCTGATGATGTGAAACTCTGGAGAGAGATACGCAACCAAGACGATATACAGGCACTTTAAGAGGTTCTGACTCGACTTCAGAGTTGGGCAGACGATAACGGACTTACCTTTAACTCTTCAAAGTAAAAATAGTCTATCTGCGACATACTGTAGACTACAGTTAAAACTTAAGAAACTCCTCTCTAACAGTATCCCGAGTCGGAAAAGATTTATGAGTCCTGGTACCCTATGATTTAAAGTCTTACGTTAAATGTGACAGAAACGCTTTTCGAGCAAACCTTGCACTCGTAATACTAAAGCGCATTTTTGGCCAGTTTGACAGAAAAACTTTCCACATAATCTTCAACAGTTTTATTCGTCCCCATTAAGAGGACGGAAACATAGTGTTTCCTCCATAACTCCAAAAGGATAAGGGGACTCTGGAGCGTATCCAACGGCGAGCCACGAAATCAATTCGGGAACTCAAATTCAAATCTTATGAAAAACGCCTCCAATCACTTAACCTTTACGCATTAGAGTATAGGCGTCCTAGAGGTGACCTCCTAATGACTTACGGTATTCTTAACACTTCTGGACATCCTCATAAACACCTACTTAAGCTTAGTTCCAACACTAACCTAAGAGGTAACACCCAGAAATCGGAGATACAACATAGTAGAACGGACTGAAGACACAACTTCTACTCCTTAAGAGTTGTCAAATGCTGGAATTCGCTGCCGGTTGATCTAGTCCAAACGACTTCTCAGGAGTCCTTTAAGAAGCAACTTGATATATTCTTAAGGTCTAAGGATAGTATCATACTATGATTTACCACTTTGTTTTTCCTCTTTTATCGTTAACATACCTAGGTTCCGGCTCGGAGTTATTCGTGATCCCCTGCTACTAGAAACGGAAGCCTGTTAAGCGAAAGCGTCTTCTGTCCCGTCCACAACCGTTTGAACCATTTGAATGAGATTTTGAGGGTTGAAGGTCGCACAAGTTCGAAATGTCCTTCGGGAGATTATGTAGTGTTTCAGTCGTCAAGCTCTTCCTGAGAGTTAATAGTCCGACAGACTTAATCCCTAGGCCGTTAGGAACAAGTGCTTCAACGGAACAAGCCATATATCAATCACAAGTGCGGTCAGTTCCAAATACAAAAAGTACGTAATAAATAGCTATGAAAATGATCTGATTTTTCTGTATCTGTGAATTAAAGATAACTGCGCAAAAGTTTATTTTTAACAAAAGCTCTTATATCCTTCTATAATCTTCTAATTCCTAGTGTGTTATCTTCAGTCTTCAGTAATGAGGATTGTAGGTCAGTTTACTTGTGTCAAACTTTGCTGCTTATTTCCCATTAAAAATCAAGCTTCTCATCAAAAGTGTTAGCTGATAAGACTGACACCACGTGTTCTGTTAGGGAGTTTCAGTTATCGATAAGGAAAACGGATTCTCACTCAGTTTATTTGATTTATGTTTTTTGAACCTTATTGGCTAGGATATGAATGGTCTTGGAGGGAGAAAAAACGTTGGTCATGTTAGCACTCAACTCGTCATTTGGGATGCAACGTATCAGTATGGCGTTACCTCACGTTCTGCCATAAGGGTAAAAGTTGTCAGCGTTTTGCGATTTCATAGCAAGGAAATCTGAGAATACCTGACTCTAACTTAGTCCTCACACGTTGAACACGCTCAAAAGTGATAGTATACCTAGTAATACATGGACTGGATGCCCAAATGCAGTACTCTTAGTGAGGTCTCACACATGTGGGGTATACAATTTAAAGCATATCTACGTCAAAACATTTGGACTCTCAACTAAATGACTAGAGCACCCTAATGCTTTTGGCGGCTGTTACATTGTAATGCGTAGTTGTTTTCAAGTCATGATCCAATATCACTATATTCTTTACCTGCATGCGTGGAAGTGTATGATGGTAGCTATTACTGCGTCTGATGTGCATTAGCAAACTTTCTAGAATTAATTTAGGAACCCAAACTTTGGGATCGTTTTACTTATTTTCTAGATCAGCTTGAAAACCAACATAATCAGCCTGACCACTTGTTTCGCAAATTTTGGCGTTCTCTGCAAACAAAAGGATCGACGACTTAAACATCTTGATAATTCATTTGAATAGAGAAGACAAAATAGGGGACATGAGTTGGTAGCTTTGATTACTCCACTTTTATCTGGTTTTACTCAGATAGTGCCCCATTCGCTCTCACCCTATGTCTTTGGACACAGGGAAGATCTCGTATCCAGTATTTAATGGCACCTGTTATTCCAACGCTGGAAAGCTTCTGCATAAGTCCCAAATGAGACACCTTTGAATAAGTCGGTGAATATCATATCAAGAGACAAACCGCTGCTTTTGTCCTCTGTCCAGTCCTTTCTCACAACTAATAAGTTAAGCATGAATGTTTATGTTGAAACCCATGTTGTTAGGAAGTCAACAGATTGTGTGGTTGTGCTTGAATTAGCAACTTCGTTCGAATTATTTTTCCATATATCTTAACCGCATTGCTAGTTACGCTGGTAAGTTGGTGTTTAGGCTCAGTCTTTCTCTTATCATGTCCCTTTGGTTAAGGTATGTTTTGAACAGCATCGTGAGTAGTTCCGAAAGTGTCCACGAGGGATGACAGCAATTGTGTGTATAACCTGTTAGGACCCGGTGACCTACTAGATTCAAGGTTAGTAAACGTTCTCAGTCACAAATACTGGTCCTGTAACTGGCATCGCAGTAGTGCGGTTATGGAAGGTGTTGGCAAGAATACTTGTAGAGAAGACCTTGCCAAATTCTAAATACTAGGTGAAGCAGCATTCATCTCGCAGTTGTAGGTTGGTAAACGTAAATGGACTTTGATAACGTCCTGGATGGACGGAAACAAAAACAAAAATGGACTAAAGTGTCTCAGATTTTGTCTAATAAAGTTTAATCGGTTTGCAAATAATCAGGGTTTGTGAGATAAGTAAACATCGGACTACTGTGTTCCTTAAAGATACTAGATTCAACACGACCTTAGAGACAAACGATTACAGATGGATGGCGTAATAGTAAATCGAACACCTTAGGGAGCTTGCTAGTTCCCCACAGACTGTTTTGCTGGGACAAGTTGAACTTAATATTGAGTGCTCTTAATTTTACTAAAAACAGTGATCGTGACAGACTTAAAGTCGTGAAGAACAGGTGGTCCTGTTATTTTTAGGAGTTTTTATTGAGCTTCAACATTGTTAAATTACTGGGTATTGTGGGTGTAGTTTTAAATCACAGTTCCTGATTAATCTTAATCATCGTAGTAAAACATGTAAGCTTTTTAATTGAAGTCAATTGTTAAATGTGAAGTTAGTCATCAACACCTAAAATGCCACATTCCAAAGGCAGAAAGTAAAAGAGTCAGACTAAAGTACACATAGAACCGGGGATGGAAGGTAAATATCATGATTATTCGAAACGCTTGGCGACAACTAGGATAGAGAACCCAGGACAGAGTTGGTTAAAGATCCTTGGTCAGCGGTCTATGCCTCTAGTGGAGTAACAGGCGTTAGGATATATCCTTACTATTTATGTTTTCCAGTTGTGTAAATGTTCTTTTCATCGCACTGATTAAATGGATTAGAATGAATTTTAATAGTTCAAAGAAATCCCGTTTTATTTCATATGAATACTTTGCACTCCAACTTTGCTTGCTCACATAATTTCTCAGGACTACTTAATAACTTTACAAAGTATAATATAAAACTGCAATATGTCTCTGTTCATAAAAAAAGTTAGCTAACAATGTACGTCTCTAACAGCCAAATGTTTTGTTCATTTGTTTGTTTGGTAAATATTTAGGAAATTGATATTCAGTTTACATTGGACTTACAGAATTTTGGCAATTGTCACTCTTATTTTAGTTTATGCTTTTACTTAGGTATTGGTTGTATTTTTACTGATCAATTTAATTGGCGGTGTTCTCCCATATTTCCAACTCCTCATTCCTGTTTTTCATCTCTCAGGAGAATATCTAGAAAACTTGTTACTTCAGCAACCACTTTCTTCTCCTGATGCTCGCGTTCTAAAGGTTGCCGTGATAGGCTGTCCAAATAGTGGAAAGTCAAGTTTGGTAAATATGCTTACCAAGTGGAAAGTTTGCGCGGTGTCTGGAAAAGCCCACACAACTCGGTCGAAACAGACAGCTACGTATTTTCAAGATAATGTCCAGTTGGTAAGCCTGTGTATATACAGAGGTTTTCGAAGAGTGATTTTTTAAATTAGGAACTAATGTTAGGCAATTTTCTTGTACTTTAATAATGGTGGTGTTCGTCAGGGCTGTCCACTCTCCCCATTCTTGTTCAACTTTGTCATTGACGTACTTTTAGAGATGACACTCTCGTCATCTAAATATACAGGGGTTGAACTTCTACCAGGAGGTTCACTTGTTGACTTGGAATATGCTGATGACATAGTTCTATTTGGTGAAGACGCTGACAAAATACCGAGTCTTCTGATACGGGATACGATTTTCTCCCTCGATCTGGATCTCAGCAGCATCTATCGCACTGATAGATGTTCGGAAACTCATTCCACCTGGCTCTGAACATAATTAGGAGCGTAGTCAGCTTAAGCGCAAGCTGACAAGAAGTCTACGCAATGATCGCGAACAGTGGTGGGTAGCGAAAGCAAGAGAGATGGAAAAGGCAGCGGCAACAGGTAATAGCAGACAATTGTTCAGACTCGTTAGGGAAACCGGTATTAGGAACCCGACTGTTAGCGAAACAATCTCAGAGAAAGATGAACATATTATACATTCTCAATTCAGGAGATTGGATCGATGGGCAGAACACTACGGATCAGTTCAACTGGCCTTCAGCCACACTTCGGTTTCCCACGATCTCTAGTCAACCTGAATGGCAAGTTAATGTAGGTCCTCCGACTCTTTACTAAGTTGAAAAAGCCATAGGAAATCTGAAACGAGGGAGAGCAGCAGGTCCTGACAGGTTTACTCCTGAGATTTTTAAGTATGGTGGTCCAGTATTAGCAATGAGATTAACCGAGGTCTTAGGTAGAATTTGGGAACTGGACGTAATACCATCTGACTGGACTCAATCACTGATTGTGCCAGTCTATAAGAAAGGACAAAAGTCCTCTTGTGACAATCACAGAGGAATCAGTTTGACTAATATAATGTCTAAAATATTAGCTTCAATAATTCTTCGACGCCTAACTAAAGCTCGTGAAGAACAGACTAGAGAAAATCAGGCTGGTTTTCGACCTGGACGTGGTTGTATAGACCAGATATTCACACTACGTCAGGTCCTAGAACATAAACACACATTCAGACGCCCCACAATCGTAGTATTTCTCGACATTAAGGCGGCATTTGAAAGTGTTGATCTCGAGGTTCTGTGGTAGTGTTTGTCAATGAAAGGAGTACCAAAGAAGTACATTAACCTTGTAAAGGCTCTCTATTTTCACACAACTGGTCGAGTGAGAGCTTATGGCGAACTGTCAGCAGAATTGATTACCTCAAGTGGTGTTCGTCAGGGCTGTCCACTCTCCCCATTCTTGTTCAATTTGTCATTGACGTGCTTCTAGAGATAACACTTGCCTCGTCTAAATTTCCAGAGGTTGAACTTCTACCGGGAGATTCACTTGTTGACTTGGAATATACCGATGACATAGTTTTATTTGAAGTCGTTGACAAAATGCAGAGTCTTCTGACCACTCTAAGCAACAATGCAAGCATGTTCGGGATGCGATTTTCTCCCTCGAAATGCAAAATGTTGCTTCAGGATTGGGTTACATCGACACCCGAACTAATGACAAGGAGTGAAGTAGTTGAGTGTGTCGACCGCTTCACTTATCTTGAAAGTCTCATCAGCCCTTGTGGTCTGGTGTGTGACGAAATCTCAGCACGGATACAGAAGGCTTGACTAGCTTTTGCCAACTTGCGTCATTTATGGCGTAGGCGAGATATCCGTCTATCAACCAAAGGACGTGTTTACTGCGCAGCAGTTCGTTCCATCCTACTTTATGGCTGTGAAACATGGCCGGTAAGAGTAGAGGATATTCGTAGGTTACTAGTATTTGATCATAGGTGTCTTCGAAACATTGCTCGTATATCATAGGACCATCGAGTAAGTAACACAGTTGTTAGGAAACGGGTACTAGGTAAGGATGGCAAATCGATTGATGAAGTGGTGAAACTTCATCAGTTAAAACGGCTGGGACACGTGTTACGTATGCCCAACGACCGACTGCCTCGACGTGCTATGTTCAGTGGTATAGGAGTAGGTTGGAAGAAAGCTAGGGGCGGCCAAACCAAAACATGGCACACGTCCATGAAGTCACTGACAAGTGAACTGTGTCATGTTGGTAGGTGTAGACTACCTGGTTGGGGACCGCGAGATGACAGCAACCGATGGTTAGAGACCCTGAATGACATGGCTCAAAATCGTTTGCAATGGTGCAGGTGCATACACTCTTTGTGTTCTCCCAAATTTTGAACTGATTCCTCCTTGTCTCTTTTTTTCTCTTCCCAAATTTATTTCACGGTATTATACTCTTTAAATAACATCTCCAAACCCTAATCTTCCTGATTACTGCTTATACTCTTATTACCTCTACCACTACGGGATTTGAGTCGACAAGTGCATCTCTGTGCTAATGTGGTGTGGCAACTCGAACTGATGTACGTACGTACGAAGTTCTACGTTGTTACTGACTGACTGAATCACAAGTGGAATGCGTGACAACAGAAGGTTAAAAAGATCGAATTGAAGTGAACACGAATGAAGGGTTGGTGAGGTTTGTAAGAGACAATTGATGGAAGATGTGCGAATAAAGTATTTAATGTATGGTTTTCGTATTTTACAAAGACATTCTGTACTTTTGTATCAAACAATAAGTTGACCATTCTCACCAAGTCTTCGTTCACTACATGGCCAACAAATAGGTTAACAGTATATTCGCTCACAAACAGTACACAAATTGAAGTGGTTTATTTCAATCACCTGTTGTTTTTAAGGATCGTAATATTGCTGAGTGAGTTTTTTTGTTCATCGACTGATTTTATTATTACTAGACACTGCACAATGTAGATGCTGATCTTCTATTCCCAATGCCCTTTAAACAGCTGCATGTACCATATTTTCTTATTGAATGATGACAATGTAATGAATCGATTAACTGAGTACTCAACATTCAATAACTAATATGGGTAGGTCATACTTCGCATATTTTTAGCTGCCTATCAGGCTCAAAAAAGCACTTATTTTTGCAATAAGTAATGACCGAAATGAAGCCATTGGTGGGCAAATGAGTCAGTCAGTCAGTCAGTCAGCTACAACATATATGTGCGTATGTGTGCATCGGTCCAAGTTGCTGTTAGCACAACATGATGAACACCGGATTCATAGAAGACTTGGTAATATGTTATCGACAAACCAACTACCGATTTTAACAGGTTAGAGTCGATAAAGATTCGCATCAGTCCATGAAGATTTTTACTGTTTAACTCAACTATGTTTATAGGTATGGACTACGCAGTTGGGATCTTTATGCTTTTCGTAACTAATAGTCAGAAACTTTGAGTGGTTCGGCTAAAATCGTTCTCAATGGCGCAGGTGTTTTAATGTTTTTCCTCCCTTGGATCCCAAGTCCCCAAACTAACTAGCAGACTTTTTTTATTTCTAACCTGCCGATCCATATCCATTTTTATAATCATATCTTCTGTAGCTAGTCCTTTCTAATACCACTTATACTGTTACTGCCTGTACTGTGGGATTTGTTTCGATAATTTCATCTCGTTAAGCTGATGGAGCGTTATAACGTGAACCGAGTTACACTTATCCTAAGTTCTACAATGCGTATGATTGACTGAAGGAGTTATAGGCTACCAGTATTTGGTTCTAGATGGGTTAAAACTCATTTTAGGTACATTTTCACAATTCGACTGGAAAGAATGTGCTAAAATGTATTTTCTCTAGCACACAGAAATCGTTTGACAAAACTGTACATTTGTAATAAAGAACAATAAATGAATTTTTTATTCATATGATGAGTGAGGGAAAAAATTAGCGCTTAGCTACCAGTCTCTTAGTATATTTAATCTATTTTAATAATATACTACTGATTCAGTCTACGCAGATTTGAATGCGATTAACTTTGGGAAACGGAAGTTTTCAGTCATCGGTCCTATATGTGTGAATAACTTGTAAATCGAAAGTTTTTTAGTCAGCAGGAACACTAATGAAGAGTAGTGGAAACATGTCAGTGTGTTTGTACAAATTGTTGTGTTTCCTCTTATCGGTATGATAAACATAAATGAAGGAAATTTTTGTTGGATTTGCTTGAAAGTATAACAGATTGTGTCATTATATTCAGTTTTACGCGTTCTAATCCTAATTCGTTTAAATATTACTTGTGAAAATGTTTCATCTCGCTAGGCTTTTGTCGACTTACCCGGAATTGTTAGCAGATCAAAAGCCTCCAGGTAAGGTATACTTTTGATGAGGCTTAATTCAATTGGGGCTTTCAGATTTAAACTTGAGAAAACGTTCATTCGGGATCCACATTCTGCTATTTTTGATTCTGATTTAAGTAAGTTATTCACAGAAATTGTATTTACATTTCCAAATACACTTAAGTACTCTAATCAGAACAGTTATTTTTTAACTATTTATCCACATGACTGATTTTCCGGGGAAATCAGTTTTACGTGGAGTAAATATCTCTGTTCTACTTCAATTTTTATTTTACAGAGTTCTCACTATGTAAAGTGTAATATCTCTCTAATATAGGGATAAAAAAGCGATTTACGTAATGTACGTTTCCAAATTTTAGAGACATATTTATTTATAATTGAGTTCCACTTTCGAGGTTGATTATCAAATTTTGTGGCTTGTCTCTTTTTCATTGATGTACCTTAATTTCTACTTGCACGTTTAATCAAAAAAATGTTAGCATTAACTAGTAGGAACTAAAATGCCAACAATTTTTTTTCTTCTTTTAGTAAATCACTGTAAACACCAGAGCTTGATTCAATTATGGTTTTCATCCTAAGACCCATCCTAACCTAGGTTCATTCTATGGGTGTGGATGCTTTTATTTTCTGACATTACTTAGTCATACATGACTCAGTCAGTCAATAACAACGTAGAACTTCGTACGTACGTACATCAGTTCGAGTTGCCATACCACCTTAGCACAGAGATGCACTTGTCGATTCAAATCCCGTAGTGGTAGAGGTAATAAGAGTATAAGCAGTAATCAGGAAAATTAGTGTTTGGAGATGTTATTTAAAGAGTATAATACCGTGAAATAAATTTGGGAAGAGAAAAAAAGAGACAAGGAGGAATCAGTTCAAAATTTGGGAGAACACAAAGAGTGTATGCACCTGCACCATTGCAAACGATTTTGAGCCATGTCATTCAGGGTCTCTAACCATCGGTTGCTGTCATCTCGCGGTCCCCAACCAGGTAGTCTACACCTACCAACATGACACAGTTCACTTGTCAGTGACTTCATGGACGTGTGCCATGTTTTGGTTTGGCCGCCCCTAGCTTTCTTCCAACCTACTCCTATACCACTGAACATAGCACGTCGAGGCAGTCGGTCGTTGGGCATACGTAACACGTGTCCCAGCCGTTTTAACTGATGAAGTTTCACCACTTCATCAATCGATTTGCCATCCTTACCTAGTACCCGTTTCCTAACAACTGTGTTACTTACTCGATGGTCCTATGATATACGAGCAATGTTTCGAAGACACCTATGATCAAATACTAGTAACCTACGAATATCCTCTACTCTTACCGGCCATGTTTCACAGCCATAAAGTAGGATGGAACGAACTGCTGCGCAGTAAACACGTCCTTTGGTTGATAGACGGATATCTCGCCTACGCCATAAATGACGCAAGTTGGCAAAAGCTAGTCAAGCCTTCTGTATCCGTGCTGAGATTTCGTCACACACCAGACCACAAGGGCTGATGAGACTTTCAAGATAAGTGAAGCGGTCGACACACTCAACTACTTCACTCCTTGTCATTAGTTCGGGTGTCGATGTAACCCAATCCTGAAGCAACATTTTGCATTTCGAGGGAGAAAATCGCATCCCGAACATGCTTGCATTGTTGCTTAGAGTGGTCAGAAGACTCTGCATTTTGTCAACGACTTCAAATAAAACTATGTCATCGGTATATTCCAAGTCAACAAGTGAATCTCCCGGTAGAAGTTCAACCTCTGGAAATTTAGACGAGGCAAGTGTTATCTCTAGAAGCACGTCAATGACAAATTGAACAAGAATGGGGAGAGTGGACAGCCCTGACGAACACCACTTGAGGTAATCAATTCTGCTGACAGTTCGCCATAAGCTCTCACTCGACCAGTTGTGTGAAAATAGAGAGCCTTTACAAGGTTAATGTACTTCTTTGGTACTCCTTTCATTGACAAACACTACCACAGAACCTCGAGATCAACACTTTCAAATGCCGCCTTAATGTCGAGAAATACTACGATTGTGGGGCGTCTGAATGTGTGTTTATGTTCTAGGACCTGACGTAGTGTGAATATCTGGTCTATACAACCACGTCCAGGTCGAAAACCAGCCTGATTTTCTCTAGTCTGTTCTTCACGAGCTTTAGTTAGGCGTCGAAGAATTATTGAAGCTAATATTTTAGACATTATATTAGTCAAACTGATTCCTCTGTGATTGTCACAAGAGGACTTTTGTCCTTTCTTATAGACTGGCACAATCAGTGATTGAGTCCAGTCAGATGGTATTACGTCCAGTTCCCAAATTCTACCTAAGACCTCGGTTAATCTCATTGCTAATACTGGACCACCATACTTAAAAATCTCAGGAGTAAACCTGTCAGGACCTGCTGCTCTCCCTCGTTTCAGATTTCCTATGGCTTTTTCAACTTAGTAAAGAGTCGGAGGACCTACATTAACTTGCCATTCAGGTTGACTAGAGATCGTGGGAAACCGAAGTGTGGCTGAAGGCCAGTTGAACTGATCCGTAGTGTTCTGCCCATCGATCCAATCTCCTGAATTGAGAATGTATAATATGTTCATCTTTCTCTGAGATTGTTTCGCTAACAGTCGGGTTCCTAATACCGGTTTCCCTAACGAGTCTGAACAATTGTCTGCTATTACCTGTTGCCGCTGCCTTTTCCATCTCTCTTGCTTTCGCTACCCACCACTGTTCGCGATCATTGCGTAGACTTCTTGTCAGCTTGCGCTTAAGCTGACTACGCTCCTAATTATGTTCAGAGCCAGGTGGAATGAGTTTCCGAACATCTATCAGTGCGATAGATGCTGCTGAGATCCAGTGTTGCTCCCTAACCTTCTGGTTTACCTTACTAGCAGATATCACTGCTGTTTCCACAGCTTTTCGGATATCATTCCATGCTGCATCGGGGTGGGCATCACATACATGGCTGCCTAAATGTTTTCCTCGTTGTTACTGAAATATACTCTTAGTTTGACTATCATTAAACAGGACCGTAAGAGGTTTCCTCGCAGCATCTTTCTTACGTCCAGTAAGACGCAGACAGATACGCGCTCGTACTAGAGCATGATTTGAATCTAAGCATGTGCTCCAGAATGAGCGACTGTCTTCTAACGAGTCCCTCCATCGGTAGCTGATAGCGATGTAATCTATTTGGGTCCAACGTTGGGACGAATTAGGTTGTCGCCATGTTAAAAGATGTTTTTCCTTATGCTTAAAGTTAGTATTTGCAAGGAACAGGCGGTTATATGAGCATAGCTGCAACAGACGGTCGCCATTATCTGTTCTTTGAGCCACGATGCTATAAGATCTACCTAGGTGTCTTTCTCTATCGCTTAGTTTACCTACTTGAGCATTAAAGTCACCGGCCAGTATTACTACATCCGAGCGCTTAGCTTTTCGTAGAAGTTTGGAAAGCTTTTTGTAAAACTCATCTTTTACATCATGTGCGCTGCAGTCAGTGTGAAAATAGGCAGAGACGACGAAGAGGCAACGACAAGTGTCCCTATCTTTCTGAGTCCTTATTGTTCCGTTTAGTCGGACAGCGCACAAACGACTGTCTGCTGGTAACCAGTCTAAGAGAGCTAGTTCTGCCCTAGGACTCAATGCTTTACCTATGCCGGCGAGTCCACGAGAAGCAGCATCTTGGCTTCCAGATACACGAAGTGTGAATCGAGTTGGTTCTTTGTTTTGACATGGTGATGTCAAATGAATGACGCTACTCGGATCCTGTATACGCGTTTCGGAGACGCAGCACACATCGATGGTGCGAGATTCTCAAGTTCTAGCTAAGGAAGCCTGTCGTCCTATTTGGCACAGTGTTCGTACGGTAAAAGCTCCTACGTGTAGTTTAAAGCGTGGTTTCATGAGACCGTGAATAACGTTCCGCGTACTCGAATCGTTTGCCCTAGCGGTGCGAGGTGAAAAAAGGACGTGAGAAGTGTTAGTCGGGGAGATAAGAGTGGTATAAGTGGTGTAGGAAGGATTTGAATGTGACCAACTTGGTCTCGTGTGCAGTTACGGGTATGAGGGCTGATGTCACTTCCCGGCTGCCCACACCGTGGAAGGGTATTTCTTGAGGAACCTGGAAAGGAAATTAGATTAGTGTTGGTCTTGACGACCTTGGAGCGTGACCGACGAGCCCAAGGGACAACTGCTTGAGGCCGGTCGCGCACGGCTTTTTCGTGGAAGGTTTTTAATGTGTTAGCTCCGTTCTTCAAAGGGCCTTACCACCGGAGACGGAAATCCGTGAGGTAAGGTGAGGTGTGACATTTTTAGGGTCGACCTTTTCTAACCCCACCCCTCCTTGTGAGAAGGCAGCATTGCTGTAGATGCTGGTTGTCTGAGGGAAACAGCTTACTGCTGTCACACCCCTCTACAGTCAGCAGTACGACTTCACCCTCAGACCTTGAGTTGCTGCTTTCAGTCTTACCGTTCACCAATCGACCTGCCTGGCATGGTAGAACCTACAGGAACATATGTTCCAGCCAATATAGTTCGGTTGGGTCATCACGATAGGCAAGCCCGACCACTGCGTCAAGGTAGCAGCTACGGTCGGGACATACATCACTCCGTAACCTAGTGTTGGTTCCATTCTTCATACTTTGGGTTCTGACGTAATAATATTAGACACATAATAGGTTAGTAATCTAGCTTCATAAAGTTTATCTCTTTAGTGTATTGATGTTTCCCATTTTAAAATCCATTAACGTTTTATTTCCTAACTTATCAACCAAGGTTCTTTCTGAAGTTTTACAACGATAGCAATCGACATTCGTGTGTTTATTAACGGTCTCATGTCTGCCTCACCTCCTGTCTGTTTAATCAGAAGAGATACATTCGCCTCTGAGACTAAAAGTGAAATTTTAATGCGTCTCAACCAAAAAATTTTTTGACGCATAAATATACTAATGTAAAACATCCAGTTGTGGTTGAATCAGTAAACTTAAGCAGTCACATAAAAATTTCAAACAAATCAAAATCAAAGTTTAAATGTCATCTGATAGTCTGTCTATATCTGTCTCCCAACTTATACTTATTGATTTACTGATAAAATAAATTAACTAACTGCAATATAGTTCTTTACGAGCCTCAGAAAAAGTTATTAAGTTTTTTTTAAAAACATGTTAGCACTATAAAGTACTTGGCATTCGAAGTTTGCGAAATGAGATTTCTAAACACACTAATAAATTACAATAGGTAGTGACCATTATGTTATTTAATTTTTGGTGTTGACCATATTCTATCTATAGGGTTCACAATGTACCAAAATCTTTGTTGGCAGTTATCAATATGCCAAAGGCACATATCATTCACTCGAGACTTTAATCACTAGAATAGACTATCAAAAAATAGTGAGAAAAATGGAATATCTATTGATACTTCTGGACAAAGTTTTCAATATGCATTGTTCTCAATTTTTAGATATTCATTAATGTGCTTCAATTTGACAAGTTGAACGTTGCTTTGTTGCATATTCTATTCTGAAATGATCCAAGAAAATTTGAGTCTTTTATTTTTCCGTTTTAATTACAATATATACTTCTGTTGCGTCGTTCCCTCTTAATACGATGATTTATTATAATAACTTTTGACAACGAATTTGATTAGTCGTTACCCAGAACATTTATGAAAAAAATAAATGCAAGTTGTTGTTTTATAACTGGCTTGCGTCAGCACATGAACTAAGGATTGGGAGTGAAGTAGTTGAACGCGTTGACAGCTTCACTTATCTTGGAAGTCTGACTAGCCCTAATGGGTTGGTGTCTGACGAAATCTCTGCATGGATTTAAAAAGCTCGTTTGGCTTTTGCCAATTAACATCATCGGTCCAAGTTGCCACACCTCATTAGCACAACAAGATGAACACCAAATTCATAGAAGTAGTCACTTCAATGGTAGTAATATATAAAAGAAAGGTTGCACGTAATGATATAAAACAGGGAGAAAGAATTAATTTGTAGAAAGAAAGATATGAAGCGATTTTAATCTCATGTTTTGAGAGAAGACGAAGAATGTATACACCTACGCCATTGTGATTGATTCTGAGCCATGTCACCTAGAGTCTCCAACCACTGGTTACGATATTGGCGTGGACACCAACCAAGTAGTCTACATCTACCAACATGGCTCAGACCAGAAGTTAGTGACTTCAAGCGCTGATGCCACGTTTTGCTTTGGCCGCCCCCAACTTTCTTCCAACCATCCCCAACACCGGTTAGCATTGCGCGTTCTGGTAATCGGTATTCAGGCATACCCAACACGTGACCCAACCATCTCAGTCGATGAAGATTCACAACCTCATCAACTGATTTACCATCATTCCCCAATACCCTACGTCTAACCTCACTATTACTTACCCGGTGAGCCCAGCAGATACCAGTATTATTTCTAAAACATCTGTTGTCAAATACTAGTAGCTTACGAGAATCTTCTACCCTCAATGGTCGCGTTTCGCAGCCGTAAAGTAGAACAGATCGAACTGCTGCTCAGTATACTCGTCCCTTAATTGAGAGACGGATATCTCGGAAATTCAGTCGACGAGGCTAGTCCTGGAGCAACAATTCGCAATTAGAGCGAGAGAAACGCATCACAAACCTCCTGGGGATTTTATCAGCGTCTTCACCAAACCGAACTATATCATTGCGTATTCTAAGTCGATAAACGGACCTCCTGGTAGGAGATCAATTCCCGAAAATTCAGTCAACGAGAACATTGTTTCCATCAGTAGGTCTATGATGAAATTGAAAAAAAATGGAGATAGTGGACAGCCTTGACGGACACCACTTGAGGTTGAAAAATCAGATGACAGTTCGCCATAACCTCTGACTAAACTGGTAGTGTTCGAGTAAAGAGCCTTCACAAGGTTTATGCACTTCTTAGCTACACCTTTCAATGACACACACTGCCACAGAACCTCTCGGTCTACAGAGTCAAATGCTGCTTTTAAGTCAAGAAAGACCACCATTGTCGGACGCCGATAAGCATGTCTGTGTTCTCAAACCTGACGAATGGTGAATATGTGGTCGATGCAGCCACTACCAGATCTCACCCCCTACATGCGGTACGGTCGAGAGTGGGGATAGACCGCTCTCCTTCTAAAAATGCCTTCACATGGCTTTGCATTTACAGCTACTCTCATTAAGCCCTACTCTCTACCTTCTTGCCATGGGGATATCCTTTACGAAATTGAGAGGACAACAAACGATTTTCCGGCTCTTTAACCGTGTTGGTGGGCACGGAGATTCCACCTAGGGAAGTTGGTAAACCCATGATTCCAAGCCAATGGTGCACATGGACTCAAGGATCCTGAGAGAACAAATGGTGTATGAACCTATTGTTGGTTACCGGCACCATTGGACTGCATGTCCCATCGTCGCTCCACTGCCTTGAGGATTAGACCTTTAAATCAAAGGCTTGAAGTGTGACCCCCTAATGAAACCACTTGCTTCAGTTTGGATACCTAGGCAGTATCGTAGCCCTCAAACAAATCAATGATAATTGTGTGGGACATGAATTTGGTGCCTCTTGTTTCCATGTTTATGTGTTTGAATAAATGATCAGGTTTGAAACGAGCCCGGTTTTCTTATGTTTACAGTTCGCAATTTTTTGTTAGGAGTCCGATAATCATTAAGGTTACTATTTTAGATGCTATATTAGTTAAAGAAATCCCTCTATATTTATCACAGGATGGATTTGATACTTTCTTATATATTGAGACGGTCAGTGATTGCGACCAGTTAGATGGATTTACATCCACTTTCTAGATTTTAGCTAAAAGCTCCGCCTGTAGCACTTCTAGAGTTACTGCCGGTCCCACGCCAGGGTAAAGGGAGAGAGTTGGGCATTGGGTCAGCAATCCTATCCCTTAGAAAACAACCTTGCTAAAAAACGCTAACCAGAATAAACAAACTAACCATTTAGACTCTGCCCTGGGAGTTGAAGGAAGAATGATGACGCCTCATGAAGAAAGCCGAGATTCTTCGTAAGTCGCGAGGCTGACACCCCTTCTAACAACCAGAGCAAAAAATTTTATAGGTACATGGAACGTCCGGACTATGTGGGAGACCGGGAGCATCAGTCAAATAGCAACGGAAATGAGGAGATACAATTTGGCGGTTCTCGGAATCAGCGAAACCCATTAGACCCAAGCTGGACAGCAAAGGCATAGATACGTGAGAGTTGTTGCTGTACTCCGGTCACGAAGAGGAAAATGCTCCACACACTCAGGGAGTTGCTCTGATGCTGTCCAAAGAAGCACTTATAGGATGGGAATCTCATGGACCCAAGATCGTCAAAGCATCATTCAAAACAAAGAAGGCGGGAATTACAATGAATGTTATTCAATGTGATGCACACACTAATGATAGCAATGACGACGATAAAGATCAGTTCTACGAGAGGCTTCAATGTGTTGGGGACGATAGATCCCCCAAAACTCAATCGAGTCTCTGAATCATTGATCCTTCGTTCGTTCGAGTAAGACGCATCAGTAATCGCATTCAAGCAATAACGAAACATAACAATTGGCGACGGGGTGAAGAAAAAAATACAATCCAAAGTCATTCTGTAATTGGACAAAATCCAGTCTAATTATTCAATCAATCAGTATCCAGTTTGTCATCAGTGTCCCTGAACGACATTGGTCATTATTCATACAGTAATCTTCATTGCTGGTGCTGATCCAAAAAAATGACACTCCCTTCCGATCGAGTACAGCTGCTGTTTGAAAGACAGTTGGAGTTTTTAGTCAAATTACGCACGCAGCTGTTAAATCACTCATGCTTTGGAGATGCAACGGAAGTGGATGGATTGATCTCTCAACTGCACACAGAGCTGGAAAATGTTTGCAGCCCCAATGAATCCCCGATAAACCGTATTTCAAACGGTACAACAGTCACTCAAGATTCGCCCAGTGGTCCAGTCCTCTCCATTCCAGAAACATGCCCGGTAATGGACTCAAACTCCATTATCCCCAAAACAGCATGTGCAGACGGTGACTTATCCAGCTCACAAACACAGTCCCTGGTAAATGCTCATAGAATTGTCGCAATAACCACCCATGAAATAGAAAACAAATCGAGCAGTACACTGAATACAACTGCTTCAAATGGTTCTCATCAGTCTGCGACAGATGTTTTTGACAAATCTTATTATCAAGATTCTCTTTTACCAGAAAATATGTCAGATGCATCAAATGATGATCAAAAACTTAATACAATTTTGATAGATGCTAATTACCTTGATCATCCATTATCTACAAATAAGATTCCAAATAAATTTGGTCACAATATTTCAGAAGAATTAAACTTCGAACACCTCATATCAAGTGTTGTTCAGCCTCAAGACTTAGTCACTTTCAGTCAATTCTCTGTTCAGTGCGATAAATATGTCTTAAATAAATTCAAGTTAATTATAACGTGGGCATATGAGGATTCAACACTGTTTCGTGGGGGAGAATGGACCTGGAAAACTTAAAATCCGGATACCAACTCCGGATCTTCTAAAAAGGGGAGGAGTGTTGGGGACGATAGATCCCCAAAACTCAAATTTTGTAATTTACTTATCGATTAAATGTACAAATAGGTCAATTGATGAACTATCGATTAAATGTTCAAATAGCAGTCAATTGTTGATTAATGTTCAAAAATCTTCCTATGACAATATCGATTGTAAATAATTGTATAAATACGCTTGACTTTGTATGCTTGATCTGATCTGCCTGCCTGACTTGTTATCTGCTGTTTGTCTGTAGAATACACTTTCTACACCTTACCCAGACTTCTTGATCGAGTTAGCAGAGTTGGGGACAACGGACCAGAATAGTCTATCGAGATTCTGAATCCTCGATCCGATCAATAAGTCACTGTCATATAATCGGGCTGTCACTTTGAGGCATAACACAATGGATCATAGCGAAGTGCCCAGGAAAAGACCTGACCATCCTGATGGCAGATCTAAACGCCAAAGTCGGGGTAAACACCAACGATTATGAAGATATCATGGGACGACACGGACTATGAGAAAGGAACGAGAATGGCAAGGGATTTGCAAATCTATGTGCATTCAACAAATTAATTATAGGTGGCACAATATTCCCACACAAACGCATACACAAAGCTACTTGGGTCTCACCGGACCACACCACAGAGAATCAGACAGATCATATTTGTATCAATAAAAAATTCGCAAGGTCAATGGAAGATGTGAGAACCAGGAGAGGAGCTGACATAGCTTTTTATCACCACCTAGTTGTGGCCAAGATGAAACTGAAGTTAAGGAAGCATTGGACAGCTGAGGGAACAGCATTACAAAAGTTCAATACAGCCTTCCTTCGACATACTGATAAACACAATGAATTTAAGATAACTCTCAACAACAGGTCCCAAGCCTTACAGGATCTACTGAAAAAAAAAACAAGCTACTATGGAGGACGATTAGAAAGGGATCAAAGAAGCACTAACTTCAACATGTCAGGAGGTGCTCGTTCGCAAGAAACATCATAAGGAACGAATCACTATCGAAACCCCACACAAGATTCAAGAAGACAGCAATTAAGAGCAGCCGAACAAGAAACAGAGAAAATTAAGGTACAAGCTGAATACATAGAAGTAGACAAGCAAGTGAAGAAGATCATTAGAGTCGACAAGCAGAAATACGCGGAAGAACTAGCAACGAAAGTGTAAAAAGTTGCAAGAGAAGGTAATATGAAACAACCATATGACACAACGAAGAAACTAGCAGGGAGATATTGTAAACCAGAGAGATCAGTCCAGGATAAAGAAGAAAAGACAATCATGGAGATTCAAGAACAGAGGAACAGATAGATAGAGTGCTTCGAGGAACTGTTGAATAGACCAGCTCCATTGAATTCACCGGAAATCGAAGCAGCACACACAGACCTCATAGATATCACTCCACCAACAATCGAAGAAATCATGATGGTCATCAGAGAAATGACGAGTGCGAAAGGAGTAGGACCTGACAGTATATCAGCTGAAGCACTAATGTTAGACACAGAAGTAACTGCAAATATGCTTCACCTTCTGTTGATGAAGATTTGCGAGGGAGAACAAGTGCCGACAGACTGGAAAGAAAAATACCTCATCAAGGAGATCTGAGCAAATATGAGAACTGCAGAGGCATTACACTACTGTAAGTATCAGGAAGTTTTAAATGAGTGTTGCTGAACCGGATGACTTAGTAGACCCTCAACTTCGAGATCAACAGGCTGGATTCCGTAAGGATAGGTCGTGCACAGACCAAAATACGACACTACGGATCATCGTTGAACAATCAGCTGAGTGGAACTCATCATTATACATCAAACTAGACCACCATCCTTAAAAACATCCGTAGTTAATCCATGTGTACCAGCTGCCCTTCCTCGTTTCAGATGAGCTATAGCTTTTTGAACTTCGATTAGAATCAGTAGACCTATTTCACTGTTCCATTTAGGCTGTTTGGAAATGCTGGGTGGCTGGAGATGGCCAACTGAACTGCTCCTTAAATTGTTCCACATATCTTCTAGAACGATGTGCGAAACTTTAAGGGAATAATATCTTCAAATACTATTCGACTTAATAATAATAGCTGCTTTATACTCTATTGTAAGTGCAGATACAATTTGGAGATCACAGCTAATAATATTGCAACAACTAATCTTTAAAATCACTGCACACCTTATTGTAGAATTGTACGATTATCTTCTTGGTAGCACTAGCACTGCTAGAATGCGTCCATGTCAGGGACATGACGTATACTACTAACTGGCTTCAATATCTGAGACTTTCATCAATCAAGGGTGCTTACAAGGTGGATCAAAACGGTTTGTTGCTAATCGTGAAAACGCTTGGCTTCATCCCATCTACTTCTATACAATTCAACTAACTATCTGGGATGTTTTAGTTTTAACTATTTGCTCAATTTACACCTGGTAATTTAAAGTGCGTGTTGCATAAAATCTGGCACAAAAGGTTGGAATATCCCCTCCGTATGTGCATCTTATTAGTTCTTATGATGTTTCGATCGATTTGATAAAACTTTAGTGACCGAATCCATAATTTTCTCAGGGGACTAATCCTCAAATCTCATATGATTACCTATTGAAATGCAATAATGTTGGTCAGGAAATTAATGTATTAACTGAAAAATATCCAAAACAGAAGATAGGATAAGTAATGTTTTATGATTCTTAGAGATTTTTAGGTAATATTTAACCTGTTTTGTGTCTTTTTTGTATTCCCAGTTCTTGTGGTTATTGATGTCAGTCATAAGGAGTCACGCGAAGTACTTCATGAAGAAATCGTAAAAGCACTACATTTCTTTAACGATAAAGAATCAGTATTAGTACTAAACAAGGTAAATAAAATATTCCCTCAGTGATTCGAAGTTTCTAAAAAACAATATGAATTTCATCGAATTATTTCTATTCGCTCTTTTAATCAATATTACTATAGATTGATAGATTGTCTAAAAATCCAACTAGACTATTGGACATAACTCGGAAACTTACTGGTGGCATCGTACGTGGTCGACGTTCACATATTGATAGATATGCATATCGGTTTAAACGTCAAGCACAGTTAGCTGACACAGCTCATCATCTCATTCCTCCAAATGAATTGATTGCAGCTAGATTACCTGCTGTATGCCACCAAACAACGAATAAATTTCTGGTGTATATGAATAATCTTCTGGCTGAAATTGAATCGACACAGGTTGACGTGGATATAACAAATTCTAAGTTGCTACCAGATAATATGGAAGAGAAAAAATCACTATCTGATAGTAAGTGTTATTCGAATCCAATCCTACATTTTCAAATACTAATTTTTATACTTTGTCGATTTTCGCGTTTTATTACTCTAAAAGGCACTACCTCCATTATCATGTACACTTTAGTATAATATTAAGATAGAAATCAGCTAATTTCTCCAGATTAGTATTTATGATGATTCAGTTAAATTAAAAAGGGCTTCGATCCCCAGGTCAGATGAGATTTTTAAGCAGAATAAACCGACTCTATCAACTTCTCTTATACAGTTGTTTTTGACTACCATCAGTTTCCGATAGGAACCACTAACTTGGAGTAAATATATTGTTTTATTGGTGAAAAGGGATACTATTGCGCGATATTGAAGTATAACAAAGCCATAAAAATCACATCCTAATCACTTAGAGAATATGTTTAACGTTGTGGCCAATATCGTTTCCGAAATATTTTGCCTAGTAATCTTTACAGTCAATTCTGTTGTTCAGTTTACATTTCCCGTACACATATCAGTTTTATTATCAATCGTCTAAACAGCGACAGATTAAATAATTCAAAAAATCATAAGATAAACATCTAACTACAAAGTTCAGTAAACTGGAGACAAATGCATCAAATTTGATATTAACAAATTGGTCATTAATTTATCAGATAGAAGTCTAAGTACTCACGAAATGTATTTATTTAAAAAAAGATCTTAATTTCAATATAAATAGATAACGATTATCACTCCTCAATATTGTAACTGCAACTGAACGGGCATTGAATTGCCTTTCTAATGAAACGGAGTGAACTGAAAAATAAAATTGCGCACACTTTATTACATATAAAACCATACATTTCCAATCTAACCGAAGATGAGTTCTATGCATCAAAACAGCTGGGAAATAACAGGCCAACTATCATCACGAGAGCGGATGAGGAGAATATGACTTTTGTTTTGAGCAAATCAGACTACGAGAAGAAGGCCAGTGAACTTCTCCAGGTTAACCCGTACGAGTTGATCAAAGAAACGAAACTATGAACCATACTTAATAAGCTGTAACGAGCAAAAGCATACAGTCGATTAAAATAAAACTAGGACCGTCATTATGGTTCACATTATATCCATAAATTTGTAATCCTTGTAGATTCTATGGACTACCAAAGATTCACAAGAATATTACACCACTAAGACCGGTAGTTGATTTTACAAATTCACCGACGTATAAACTGGCGAAATACTTAGCTAAGATACTCAAACCAAATAACAAATTAGTTGATCATGAGATTAAAAACTGCTGAATTCAAGAATAATATTGATATCATTAACATGGAAGATGAATTGCTGGCAAGTTTTAATGTTTCTTCCTTACTTACTAATGTACCTATCAATACAGCATTGGATCTTATTTATGATTGTTTAAAATCTGATGCAGATTTGAGTGTACGATTCATCAACTTCTCCGATTGTAGCGAATTTATCCATGGATTCTTTTGAAACCAGTACAATTACATGATGTGTAAATCCACCCAAAGTTTGGTTATTGTATGTAGATGACAGTTTTGTTACCGTTGAACAAAATGGTTGGGAAGAAATATATGAAAATTTAAACAACATATCGGATAGCATTAAGTTAGCTAAGGAGATAGGGTCCACTGAATAAAAACTAGCATTTCTCGATTGTTTGGTCGAGAAAAGACATAATAATAAGTTAAAATTTAATGTATTCAAGAAATTAATACATTCTGGGAGGTACAGTTCAGCTCGTGCTTGCTGTAATCTGATTACAGAAAAGGAAGATCAATAGACTGAATTGGACTTAATATTGTCTACACCGAGGGCAAACCATTACTTTAAAGAGTTTTTAAAGAAGATTGTTAGAAATGGAAGAAAAACTAAGTTAAAGCGTATAACAAAAGAATGGGAGAATACCGTGATCATCCCATTCCGTAAAGAAAAGAGAATAAATTAAGAGGATTTTAAACAAACGTAATATAAGAGTGTATTTTCGGGCCAGTGTTACTATAATATATCAGCCTTAATGAAATGATAAATTTCCAGAGGACGAACAACAGAACGTTGTCTATGAGAATAATTGTCATGATTGTAATACAGTTGATTGTAAGGTTGAAGGAACACAAACAATGCTTGAAACATGTTCTCAAATAGTCGGTTGATTTTAAGAAACTTGAGAATAGGTCGTGGATAGCATTACATTCGTTAGAAACAGGACACAAGATGAACTTTGAAAGGACCCAAATACTTCGGAAAGAGTTTGGCATGCTAAAAAAAGACCTACAGCAGAAGCGCTATATATATGGGCCAATAAGACCGGCCTGAACAAAAAAGGCCGGTATTCAACTAGTCACCCCTTGGCAAATAGTCATTAACAAGTGATTAGACCCTAACTCTATCCAGCCTGTTTACTTCTCATGAACCGTTATTTTTACATAAATGAATTTGAATATTTTGCCATTACAATTATGTATTTGGTGATTCTTATTTTACATACACATCGATGTTTCAAAAACATTTTCAATTCACATTTTTATTCTTACTTCTAATAAACAAAAAGCAAATTAACACTTAATATGAACTATTAATAAATCAAACTCACAAACAAACAAGCATAATATCCCACTTACTAAAGTCAGGATCTGAATATGATTGGATGAGCACAGTATAGATTTAATTTGACTGTTGAATATTAAATATTCTTTGATAATTTTGATTATTACCCTGCCGAAGTCCAGATAAGTCTACTAGACTAACCGTTGGATTATTTCAAATGTAATTTTCACAAATAATGGCTTCTCTATACTCGGTGTTCAATTTTTGTCAAACTACTCATTCTAATATTGACGGATACTGGCATAAATTTGTCTTGTTTTGTCCCTGTTTATGGTTCGTCGATTTTGATTTCACCTAACCTAACATTGTATTATTGCGACCACACATGTCTTTGCGTACCAAATGTCTCCTAACCATGTGCTTGTGGATAAACTGACGTACATATAATGCAATTTTCGTTAGCTATGAATTTATTTCAACTTCGGGATTACTTAATACAGTGGTCTCGAGTGCTGTTAGAGGTGTCACATATTGTTAGTTGTGCTAAGATGTCAGTGGTTCGTAATAATTTAATGGTTTTATTTGAGATGTATAGTTTGGCTTGAGTCACCAACTCCTTCACACTGTATGTCAGATAACTGACTGCTATTACGTGTGCCGAACTGTTGTTTAGTAATTAGTGTTCCCTGTGGGGTTGTTACAAATAACACATGTTCGGAATCATAAATTGGGCGTTTTGAATCCATACCACGCCAGAATTCCCAGTTATTTCGTTTATAGTCTTGAAATGTTGGTTTATGTACTAACTAAAATTATGTCTCCTGGTTTACAGTGCTTACATGTTTTCATTGATCATGTTTGCAATCATGACTGGATCTGATGTTAAGTGGTTGGGTAGCAAACGTTGGATAACTCAACTTCGTTTATATTTCAACAATATAAGTACTCATTTAAGGACGTTTCTTCAACTTCAAGTGAACTGATGTTTGCTCAGATATTCATACTCATGTAACTCACTGATTGGTTAGATAACTTTGTATTTGACCAATCGGCTTGCATTCATATTATTGTGTATGCCTTTTATATGGATGATGTGTTTTGATGCAAATGTAAAATGTGACTGTTTCATTTTTTAAAAAATAATCGAGGCTTCAAGTCTAAGCAAAGAAGGCTTTAATCAAAGTGGTAATTTTATTTGACTTGTTACGCTGGATGAGGATGTGAAGGTACTTTTGAAAATCGATTAAATCATTCAGTGAGTTTCAGGGGGATTAAATCAATAATGTTCTCGAGTATGTGGAGAATATTTCTTGATGATTGCTTTCAGTGAACTTGGGAAACGAATGTATTTTGGTATAGGTCTCGGTCCATGTTATGCTACCTGATCAAACTCAGCATATATGTTCGTAGTGAGCTATTTATATATTTGACCTGGTCTCCATCTAGCTGCCTTCGGCAACCTAAAAGATGTTTTAAGTAGTTGATTCACCTAAGTTAACTGGAATATCATGTCTAAATGGTAATTACTTTGTTTATCACCTTTCTTTTAGGATTGCGTTTGTTGGATGTTTTGTTTGAAGGAAAGGAACCTAGAAAATTTCAAAGTTTCCTCGTTCGTTGATTATATTACACTGTAGTCTCCTGTCATATTAAATCTAATGAACAACTTGCGTACGTACACTTCGATCTCACTGATGCTCATTATTACCTTTAATAGCTCTGTTTGATAGCAGGTGTTCGGATTTTTGAAGAGCTTACTAATTTTTTACATAGTTTGTGACTTTTATATTTATAAATCAATTTTCGTCAATGCTAGTTGATTCCCCAGTAATATATATTATTAAATACAATCCGGCGTAAATCATGTAATGTCGTACTGGTGGCTACATCATGATAATGAGCCATCAGTATTGATTTATTTTTATTTCTTTTGATTTTAGCCTTCCTAGAAGATCGTTTTTTAACTGAAATGGAAAAAAAACACAGGGATACATTTTTTGATTGCCATAACATACCGGGAAATGATAAATTAATGCCTTCAGATAGTCAAGGCCTTGATAAATCAAAGACTGAAATCAACCAACATCTTTTGAACACATGTAGTGAATCGAATCGAATTCTGAATGCAAACAGTGATTCAGAACATATAGATTCTATGTTGGAGACGTTAAAACAACAATTATTACTTCAAACAGCATCACCTGAGGAAGTTTGCAATCGTCGAAGTCGTTGGTTAGAAATAACAAAATCAACTAAAGGGGTTACAAAGTGGTTAGGTTTCAGCGAGGTTTTCATGGTCTCTTCGTTTATAGGCGATGGGATAGACAAATTGAGGGTGAGTTATAGATATATACAATGTTTAGTATTAAGTTGGTATATATTTGTTGTGATTCTACCCAACTGAAAATTATTCAAGAAAATGAACTATTGAGCTTGTATAAGGTTTTGAAACTCTTACTATAATAACAATTAGAATTAGTTTACTTCTATTTCTAAGTTACTGGTTTTTACAGATAAAATAGGAAAAATTCTTACGCTTTACAATAGGACTTCCTTGTATCCAAAGCTTTACCGACTCGCTCTTGGATCCTACCTCCAACAATTATAACTGATCAAGAACCAAGTGAACTCATACGAATGTGTGTATGGTCACACTGTCTCAACAAATTACAACAAGAAATTCCATACTCGTTGCATATTATTGTAGATGATTGTGACAAGATTAAACTGGACAGTGGTGATGATCGAGTATACGTTCACGTCCGCATACGATGTAAAAATGAACGTCAGTTAGTAAGTTTCTGCCAATAGTTTATTATTAGTTGTGTCTTAAATTATTGTCTAGTATTATAAATCTGTTATAAATTTAGATATATATGTGACCACAGTCTGCGCTTTTCTGATCGAATATTCATAAACAATTAATAGACCCTAACTTTACAGACCGATATTGTTTTATGTGTGTTAACTGGTTTGGTCTTAAGTGTACTCAGTGCATGCACTTCACATTATGTATGTATTACATTGGGGATATATTTAAGGTCACTGGGATGACAGTTAGCTGACAAAATGTCCTCCATCTAGTAGAAATCAATCTAAACTGTTATACAACAAAACTAAATAAACCACACAATAAAACGTTACTGAAAAATATGATGGAGTATACAGATATCTATTTTATTAAGGCATTTCATTTTGATTATCACCCAGAAATCAACGACACATTTTGTTAATAACAGTTCGGGACCTCGTAGTAAAGTAGAAAAAATGATTCTTTTATTATGGATTTTTTCTTTAATTTCCTCAACCAATATTTAAATAATAATTTTTACTCACTAATAAGTAAGATATTCATGTCCACAAATGGAGCAGTTCCAGGAATCTATTTTTCGAAGTGTAGGTTGGTAGTTAACACTTAAGTCACTCAGTCAGTCAGCAAAAACGTAGGACCACGCACATATACGCATCGGTCCAAGTTGCCACACCTCATTAGCACAACAAGATGAACACCAAATTCATAGAAGTAGTCACTTCAATGGTAGTAATATATAAAAGAAAGGTTGCACGTAATGATATAAAACAGGGAGAAAGAATTAATTTGTAGAAAGAAAGATATGAAGCGATTTTAATCTCATGTTTTGAGAGAAGACGAAGAATGTATACACCTACGCCATTGTGATTGATTCTGAGCCATGTCACCTAGAGTCTCCAACCACTGGTTACGATATTGGCGTGGACACCAACCAAGTAGTCTACATCTACCAACATGGCTCAGACCAGAAGTTAGTGACTTCAAGCGCTGATGCCACGTTTTGCTTTGGCCGCCCCCAACTTTCTTCCAACCATCCCCAACACCGGTTAGCATTTGCGCGTCGTGGTCATCGTCAGACACCAACTCATTATGGCTGATCAGACTCCCAAGATAAGTGAAGTTGTCAACGCGTTTGACTACTTCACTCCCTATTCTTAGTTCAGGTGTTGACGCAGGCCAGTCCTGAAGCAACAATTCCAGGAATACGAAACCTCGAATTCAGTATTTGAATAGCCTACGTATAACTAGTGCCAAACAGATGTGATTTATACCGTAGGGTACTAACCTTACTTCTATTTGAATACTATAGTATTTCAAATTCGATAGTGCTTATTAAAGTCACCGATCCGTCAAGTACCTCCAGAAATATGGTGACCCGTCTTAGTCACCGTATATGCTAACAACCGGCCTTATGTACTGGTATATTGCATAGCAAAATGAATTCATCTAGTAGCTCAGTGGGTGAGTTGTTAGGCTTCTAACAACTACGGTCTAGATGCGAACCCCTCTTTAACCGGTTCGCTTTGAGCAGCCGGGTAATATCATTATCCTCCACACGTACTGTGGGGCTCACACTTGAGCTTATTCATTTTATTGTTTTATTTTGTATATTAATAAGACGTGATATCTTCAACATAAAACCTACTATATGTACGGGGTTATTGAATTCGATTTTTTTAATATTTGATAATAATCTTGTTTGTATTCAATTATAAATTGTTATTATGTCAATTCGGATTTTGTGAACACTTCACAATATTCGAATGGTTCTCATTGGAAATATAAAATGTATAATGGTTAATTTTGCTTTCTAGTTAAGTGTTTTAGGTATGAAAGGAAATACGATAAAGGAGATTTCAAGCGCTGTTAAACTGGAGCTCATGACAATGTTTAGATGTAATACGGTTGTAAAAATAACTGCCGAGTTATCCAAAATCGACTCGAACATAAAAAAGAAGCTTTGCCGCGCCCAAGATTTTTCCGAGGTTTTTCCAGTAAATGACAGACCGGGGTAGTTTATTTTGGAGTTTCATTTGTAAATACTTTGTTTTCCTTTATTCTTTTTAACTACGTTATTTCACTTTGTACAACAGTAAAAATCAATGAATTTGGTGAGATTGATTAAAACAGTTTTCGCATTGTAATTCGTACAGTATGTGAATTTAGTTTCCGTATCGTAGGGTTACTTATTACAATACAACGCCATCTTCTTGTCTGTAAATTTTTTTTAAGCTTTATAATATTCAAACACCAAGTCATGCAATTATGTTAGCGCCAGGATTAGTTGGTTGAGTCGTAAAAGTGAACGTGTTGTCACACTATGTGTCACATTCATCTGAATAACTTTCAGAATCGAATAAAGTCGAAAGACTCTTGACCTCTCGAATTATCTATGTATAGGCATATATAAATCATAAGTGGTTTCGCAATGGATATTGATTAGCTTCAGTGAAAACTCACATTCAAGGTGATAAACTAAACAACAAGCAATTATAAATGCGAATGAGCACAAAAGTAATCAGTTTAATACGACACAACGGATATACTTACCACTAGAAATGTATCAACCAATAAAAGAACATTTAGTTGGCCAACCGATGAATCACTGAAAAATTATGCGATAAAGAACTATTTTTTCGTGAGTAATACAGTTGCAATATATGAACCTTACTGGTACTGGACTGGAAATATCTGTAATGACTAAGGTATGCGTTGTAGTCGCCCAGCTTTAAGTAGATTTGTAGTAATAATTCATACACATGTAGCTTCTGTTTGTTGGTTCGCCACCATAGTTCGGGTTGATGTTGTTTATGTCGTGGTGTGGAGACAGTTTTCTCGCGACCTGGCTTTTCTTCAGTCACGTAGAGGCTAACTTAACTCCAAAAGCATGGAAAAATAGTCATGAGGCTACGTGACATGTTTCCGCGCTACACAAATAAATCATAGATGTACGAACGAAGAATATTTTTGTAGTACCAGCGAAATGTCACTGAGTCCTCTCCAAATCATTCGGCAGTTGGATCACCGAATGTTGGACAATTCACTGACCCTCGTCAGCGTCAAGGACAACGAACGCGCGTCAGTTAATCGCACACCACGGACAGTCCCGTGAGGTTGTGGTCGCACTGTTTCGTGAACCGACGTTTGCTAACATTTCTGCAATAACGTCATTTGTGTTTTACGATCATCAAAGTAACTGTAGTACCTGGACACGACGGAGGGGTGATCTACGTTAGGTGCTGACCGTAAGGTGTGACTTCGAAGTTAGCTGTTGGTCACACCATTTCCGTCTAACTTGAGTAGGCCCCCAATCACTCGACATCGATCATCTACGTTGGTGATCTACACTGGCGAGCCTGACGTGAACAAGACTTCGAAAAACGCAACCTATTATTATAATTTTTGATTGTATTCTGTACTTATTCTCTTTAATTTCTATCGCCACATAAGTTAGTCAATTGCTGTGAACATTCGTTGCTTTATATCAATGTTGATTAGTAAGTAACTAGTTCAATCGATAAAACTAACCATTAAACTACGATTATAATCGGCTATCGTAGTTCTTCAACAAGCATTAGCAGAATATAAGTGCTCCTGTGTAATATGTCTGCTAAAATATCAACCACTCGTAAATATAGCTACAAGGCACCACGAACGCACATCTGTTTGTAACTTCTTCACTTGTATAAGCAAGACAGGATTAAATATCGGTTGTAAGTTCCTTTTCCTGCTTTATCACTATAAACTGTTTCCCGTCAGAAACTATTCACTAACATGTTTTTCTTACATCACCATTGCGTGCCTTATTTCCTATTGCTGAGTTCTATGGTCAAACAGAAGATACGGATGCCAGAAATTTACGATGAGTTTGTACTATGGATTTTCTGAAATCTTAGGTTTTGTTTAGATTGTTCGTCAGATAGTGCTACATATTTGGCTTTAATTATTTTTGGACCTATACAAATTCAGTCCACAACGCTTTGCTGAACACTAGGTGATCTATATTCATTTCAATAAATTCTCTTCGAATCTACAATTATACATTCAAGTTAACAATCTAAGAAATCGGCCAGGTTTAAGGCAAAGTACATTATTTAAAATTATAGCACGACCTAATTAGTTAATTATTATTTTTATGATATGGTCACGTAGTTTGATTAGTGTTTATTTTCGTAGCTTAAATCTTATCATTATGAGTAGTAGTGGTAGTACTAGAAGTCGTAGTAATGGTAGTAGTACACGTATTTGTAATGTTAGTATTAGTGGTAGTGGTGGACGTATTTCTACTTCTAGTCGTGTTCGTAGCTGTGGTCCCTTTCCTAGTGGTGGTGGTTGCAGTCGTATTTGAAGTAGAAGTGGTAGTAATCTTATTAATGGTAGTCGCGATAGTATGAGTCGTAGCAGTAGTCTTCGCAGTAATAGTAGTAGTATCTGTCATAGTATAAGAAGCCGTAGTTGTAGTAGTAGCCTTATTAGTAATAGTATAGTTCTATTAGTCGTAGCAGTAGCAATCGTAGTAGCATTCATCGTATCGATAGTAGTAGTTGTGTGGTGTGAGCTACTTATATTCATATAAGTAGTATATAACGTGCGTTAAATAAACGTAAGGTCCGGCAGCAGAAGATGGCGAAGATCAAGAAAGGAAGAGCAAGAGCACAATGGAATTGTAAGAAAACACATGTACAATGGAATGGGAGACAATGGATTAGTGTTTGCAACGGGAACAGTACAGTTTGATATGATGGTATGGAATGATATTTTGCAAATTGACGATTGACTTTATGGTATTCACATTTTATTGAGATAGTCTGTAATCTTTGTGCTAAAGACAATCGATTGTCCCCACCCGTGTTCTTGTTCACTACAGTTGTAGTAAAATCCGTCATCGAAGTATTAGTACCAGCAGGATTCGTAAACTCAGTAGAAGTAATAATAGTGACAGAATTCGCAGTAGTAGGAGTATTACTGGAATTCCTAGTCGTAATCGTAGAAGTAATAGTCGTAGGCGTATTGTATCATTTGTAACAGTTTGATCTTGCCTGTAAATTGGCATGCCTCATGTAACAAACTGTTATTTGAAAATAAATTATTATTATATACAGTGACAAACAGAAAACACGGGATTTCATCAGGTATTATATTCAGCGACTACAAACATTAGTTTGAGATGGTCCACACGTATTCCCATGGCACTAACGACATTCCAAAAACCACTATTATAACTCCTTTTGAACTTTACGAATTTTTGCGCATGCCTTTAGGCCTAAGAAATGCTTTCAAATATTCTAAGGGTTCATATATGACTATTTTGAGGTCTCAACTTCGTACATGCGTATGTTGACGACTGCCTAATCGCAAGTCTGGACAAATAATCGCAACCTCAGCATCTGGATCTTGTTTTCTACCGACTACAAAAACATGGCATTACTGTAAACATTCAGAAATGCCAAATCGGAACCGATGCATTAGACTTCCTAGGACACACTATAGATGCGCAAGACATTCTACCCCTTAGAACAAAAGTGGCGGCCATTCCGGATTACCCAGAACACATCACCATCAAGCAATTACTCACGTTTAACGGCCTTGTAAGTTCCTATATACGATTCATACCGAAATTCGCGTTACTTATGAAACCTCTAACTGATCAACTTCGTGGAAATGCGAAATCTATCAATTTGGATGATACAACGCGAAAAGTATTCTCTATAGTTAAGAAACGTATCACTAAAGCAACAATGCTTGCACAACAGGACAATGAAGCACCCATCAGTATCACAGTAGACGCATCCGACTCAGCTATCGTAGTAGTCTTAAAACAATAAGCTAACCTCTTATGGCAACCTTCGGCATTTTTCTCTAGACGGTTGCCAGACACTGAATCGAGGTATAGCGCTTTCGACAAGAAACTCGTGGCCATATATTTTGCTGAAAGGCACTTTGAACACTGTTGGAGGCCGAGAATCCACTCTTTTTACCGACCACAATCCTCTTACCTTTTCTTTAAGCTTATCTTCACTCAAGTACCCCCCATGAGATTCTTGAAAAATGGACTAAATTCCTCAACTTACTACATATATACAACACATTTCTGGGGCAAACAATGGAGTTGCAGACGCCTTGTCTCGAATAACTTTCTTGAACACGGTTCCGAAAGACCGCTCACCACCCACAAGCAAACGGGTTAGTGGAACGCTCTTACCAACGGCTTAAAGCTTCACCCTCAGCTGCAAATGTTTCGCATTAGGCAGACGCCCTTCCACTCGTTTAACTAGGTGTTCTCAATGCAGTGAAAGGTGACATTGAATACAATGCAGCTCAACTCATTTATGGAATGATACTTCGACTTCCAGGAGGATTCATGGATCCTTCATCTTCTTCTAAGAATATGGATCTAAGCTCTTACACAAGCAAACTTACAGAGGCAATTGATTCAGCTAAACCTGTTTCCACTCGACCGCAATCAATTGATGCTTTTGTTCAATCTGTCATACGATATAGTACAATATCCTTGCAGTGTTTTGCCAGCAGTGTTAGACTTGATGGCAATAATTTAGAAAAAAGGAAATCGTGACCACAAATGTGCAACAAAACATGGATGGTAATTAAGCTGAATGACACGAAAAGTCTTGTAGCCATACTACACTCATAATGAATTCATGCATGTAAAGGCTTCTGTAAATACTTCTTCATCAAACAGTAGCTCAGATTCATTCATTCAAAGTTAAGACGGTAGATCAGACAGGTTATGGACAATAGAAATTAAAAGATTTGCTCAACGAGGAAAATACGATTGCATTTTCTTAAACCATACATTAACACACAATGATGTAAGCTATAAAATCAGGAATCATCGGTCACTCTAGACTACTGTATATATATAAGGAAATCCAATGAAAGATAAGCAAAGATTTTCATCCCCCACGAGAATTAAGATATAGTTGTTAGCTTGAGGGGACTGCGAAAATTCTCATCTACCAGTCTCCACTAGTATCAAATAACACAAATGGA